GTCAGCCTTGGTTCTCACTTAAGTTCTAAAGATCCTTGTAATTAAATCCAAACTCTTCTCTCTTGCCCCCAAGGATTAGCTGTTCCTTTTTCTCCTAATTTGGTTGTTGGCAATCACTCTCTCTCTATACAGTCATCTCATAGTAATCTGATTTCTCTATCTTTTTCTCTGTGTACAGTATCATGAGACTTTCTTGAGTTGATGCAGAAATGTTTATAATGTGTCTACTCTTGTTACAGATGGTCAGAGTCATTGTAGGTGTTCATCTTACCTGGACTTTTAAAATCACCTAAAAAGTTCTAGGCTGCCTGTAGTCTTCAGCCCTTATCCCCATTCCAGTACATTACTTAAAAAAATAAAAAAAATGTAGTTGACATTAGTTTTAGTTGTACAGCATACTGATTTACATTTATAGAAATTATAAACTGATCATCACAAATCTAGTAACCATCTGCCACCTCAATCCATTCTTTATGTTATCACTAGGTTAACCTTCCTAAGGTAGATATAATGGTTATTCTTCTGCTTAAAAATATTCCTTGGCTCCTTTCCTGAAGAATAAAGGCCAAATGCTCCGCATAGCACTAAAGAGCCTTCATGATATGGCCCTTCCTTTCCAGCCTCATCTACTACAATCTCTTCCATTCGATGTCTAATTTTCAGCTTTACCAGATAGCAGTACTTGCCATTCCCTTTGTGTACTTTTAAAGTTTTGCCTTTGCTGGGAGAAATCTCTGCCTGGAATAAAACATAGTGAAATCTTCTCTTTTCAAAGGCTCATTAAACATCATCTCTGTCTTTTACTGATCTCATCTCCAACTGTCCCCCCACCCTGCAACTGGTACAGAACCAATTTTTTCCTCTGCTGCTTGTATCTCTTCACAAGAGATATGTTCATACATACCATTTAACATATGTATTAGTTAAGAACATGTTGGGGGTCTAGCTAAACCATGAGCTAGACTTACGAATTTCCTTTATATCTCTTTGTATTCCCAACACCTAATATATACACTTGGTGGTTAATAAGTATTTCAAGGAACAAAAGTTAAAGCCTATCTTAGGGGTGGGAAGAGCCTTAATTCATAATGTTATTCTAGAATTGTGTTATTCAGAAGGAAAAGTGGAGAAAATTAGATCAGTAGATATAAAGAAACCAAATTTTTATTTTGTACTTACCACAGACTTATGGATAGTTTAAGAAGATAGCTATTTGCTGTCTAGTTCTGTTGGGCAGTGTGGAGACAGTAAATATTGTATTGATAATTAAATCTTAAAATTTACTCAACTTTTTTCCCTTCAACTAGAGATAAAACTGAAAATTATTACAAATTAAGGTTTAAAATTTAAAAAGATTAAATAGCAAATATGTAAGAAGCATCTTAATATCTCATAACCTGAAGCAGAAGTTACCTATGTCTGAGTCTTATTTTGCAAGATAAAACCTGGTTATCTGGCTAACAGGTATTCTGAATAAGTTTGTGTGGTTCACCCTACTGATAAAAGTGAACACAAGTTGAAAAGCAAGATGACATGCAGTAGTTTTAGTCTACAGTATCTATACTGTTGCAGGAGTGGGACAAGTACATAAAGGTGGCACATTTTCAGACATCCTTCTATAAAACCACTGGTACATGCCGAGGGCTTTTGTAGCAGTACAGCAGTGGGAATAATACACTTGTACAATGTTGAGAAATTACTTCACTTAGTCTGCATTTGTCATGTAAAGTGGGGCTAATACCTACTTGTTAATTGGTGGTGAGATTAAATGATAGAACTTACCAAATGCTTACTTAGCCCATTGTTTAGCGTATCATAAAAACTACAAATGTTAGCTTCTGATCCTGGAATTAACATAATAAAAAGAATAGACAGCTGTGTGCTGGGTCACCCTAATTATTTCACATCTTCCTCACTCTCTTCTATGTTCTCTCAAGTTTTGGGCAGAGGATAGGCATCTGGGAAGAAAGTTTCATCAAGGGTATGGTGGAGACAGGAAGACATAAAAAACTTCTTCCTACTTCACTATTTGCCCAGGGCTGGAAATACAAAATCATGTTTTGTCATAGACTGTCTTTTCCTGGTATAAGTGAATTACAGATTTGTTTGTAGTGTATAGATGATAGTGGTAGTAATTTGCTTTGTTGTGTTAGATTACCAGTATGATTTAGCTGACTTGAACACTGGGCAAGCAAAATGAGAGCAAAACTGTGTTAGGTAGATCCCTGCATAAAAGCTTTTAATCGTGTTATTTTTAGCATTTGAAACCTATTTGTGGGAGTAGCATTTGGAGTTCAGTGTCTCCATTTTTCAATGACCATGGGCTGATTTCATTTATCTGGGCTTTAGTTTCTCCATCATTATAATGAGGTGGTTTTTTTTCTTGGTTCTAATATTCTATTATTTCTGTGTACCTTCACTGTCTATGTCATAAATTATAGGGATAACAGTAAATACTTTGAGGAAAAGTGATGTTTTCTTGTTTTGTTTTTTAGAGAGAGGAAATGAGAGAAAGAGAGAGGCATTGATGTGAGAGAAACCTTGATCAGTTGCCTCCTGTACATGCCCAAACCGGGGGTCAAACCCACAACGTGGGTATGTGCCCTGACCAGGAATTGAATCTACCACCTTTTGGTGAATGGGACCATCAACCAAGCCACAGTGGCCAGGGCAGGAAACTCCTTTGGTAATTTGTGTCTTGTTTTGTAATATAATACTAAAAAGACTGATTTATAAGGTTAATAACTTAAAATTATAGAAAGCTTTAGCTCTCTATTTACTAAATATCTATTTAGCGCTCCATTTTTTATTTTCTATTTTCATAGTTTCAAGACTTATAAAAAGTTATTTGTTCACAAGTTGCTTTTACTTAGAATTTTTGACAAATCTTTTGCCCAAGCCAGATTAAATTATTTCTCATCCATGCTGACCTGCAAAATAATGGCTTCATTAAGAACATTTCATTTTTCAAGTTCCTTTCTTAAGGCAGAGCATTATTTTTATAAATACTGTTAATAAACATCTGTGTTAAAAAGGAAGTATCCTATAACTAAAAACAAACATTGGAAGATATTTTTCTGCAATACTAATTGTTTATGTATTATTCCATTTGTTTTACTTTTTCCATCTGTAAGCCTAATTTCTTTTATGTCTTTCATTACTTAATGTTTTAAATGTATTTCAACTAAGGCTGTGAAATTGTGATCCCTAATAAGAAATATATCTGGTCTTCATTCCCATTCCTGGCACAGGAATTTAACATGCTTGGAATTTCCTAAGTGTTAAGTCTGATAAATGAGGTGACTTGGAAAACTCCTACGTTACCTAAGGTTGGGGGCTGGTTACCAGAGGAACCAACCCCGTGATTAAAGGGTTGTAACTTTTCAGTACTCCATCCCCCAGGGTAGAGGTGCTGGAGATTGGGTTCAGTAACCAATGGCCAATGATTTCACTAATGACTGTGTAATCAAGTCTCCATAAAAGGACTGGGTTTAGAGAGCTTGCAGAGGGAGGAAGAGTGGTCACTTAGAAAGCACTCTTTTCCATACTTTGCCCTATGCATCTCTTCCATCTGGCTGTTCCTGAGTTATATCCTTTTACAATAAACTGGTAATCTAGTCAGTAAAATATTTCTCTGAGTTTTGTGAGCTGCCCTAGCAAATTAATCTAACCTGAGGAAGGGGTGGAGGGCACCTCCAATTATTGCATATCAAAAGCACAGACAACCTGGATGTTGGATGTCTTAAGTTTGGGGGGTTTTATTGTTTTTTGTTTTTAAATTGATTCTAGAGAGGAAGGGAAAGAAAGAGAGAGGGGGAGAGAAACACTGATGTGAGAAACATTGCCTCCCGAATGTACCCCAACTGAGGATTGAACTTGCAACCTGGGTATGTGCTGACTGGGAATCGAACCTACCACTTTTTGGTGTATGGGACAACACTCCAACCAACTGAGTCACACTGGCCAGGGCTGGCCTCTGAAGTTTGAGGTAAGAATTAGTTTTCTGGCACTGAACCCTTAACCTGTGAATGTGATGCTACCTCCAGGTAGATAGTTGTCAGAATTCATTCCTTGGTGGTGTGGGCGGAAAGCATGAATCTGATTTGGTGTCAGAACTGGAAAGACACACATCCATAACTTGTTGTGCTGCTTCAAGTTGTTTATTTAATGTGGTAATATACCAAATTAAGTAAGAAAATACTTATGATGTTGCTTTTATATCCAATTCTTACACAATTTCCTTGGAGACCTGTCGCACCTTTCCTTTTAGCTGTCTCTTACAGATCTGTTTTTGTTTTATGCCCTAACTCGGGTCAGCAAATACTGCCCACTGGCCATATCTTTTCTTTTCTTTTTGGTATGGACTGTGAGGCAAGAATGAGTTTTAAATGGTTGAAAGAAAAATCAAAAGAATATTTTGTCAAATGTGGAAATTATATGAAATTTATATTTCATTTTCCAAAATAAAGATTTATTGGAACATAGCCATAGTCTGTGGCTGCTTTCTTGCCACAAGACCTGAGTTGAGTAGTTGTAACAGAAAGCTTAAAGTATTTACTATATAGCCCTTTACAGAAAAATTTTACTGACTCCTGGACTAGCTGACTCTCTGCATGTGGGCTATCCCTTCTTTTCCTTTTCCCTATGAGAGATAACACTTGGACAATACGTGCATGTATACAGTTTTTACTGCACTACAAAATCTTCCTGTCTGGCAAGTTTCTGCTTCTGTCCTAAACAAAGTACTTAGCCTAGACAAAAATCTGTCAAACTCTCAGATTCTTTCTAAATGTAATCATGAAGTAGCATCCCCTAATTATTTCAGTAACTTTTTTCCCTTCATAATTATTTAGAAGCACAAATGACCATTTACATTGGTTGTAATGGGGCCATGATATATTAAACTTCTTCCCAAATATGTAGGTTAAAAAGCTTGTATATACTTACTTTAAATATTGACCCATCCCGACAACAGATTACTTAAAAATCAAGTAGAAATATAAGGTCCAAAACAAACTTTATTTAAATAGGAATAATAAAGATATCAATAACTCAAATATTGAATAATTAAGCTTTGGATTGACTGGAAGTCCACGATTCACCAAGACTATTTTATGGAAGCAGTATAAAACTACATTTGGTATTTTTCTCAGTTTTCCGGTATATTTCAAGCTTGCAAAGATTCAGAACGTTTTAATGACAGCTTGTTTAACAGCAATAAAGTAAGATGATGTCCTTAGAAGTCAGTCTCTCACAAAAAAGACGTTATAGCCAAGTTCTACTAAAGCCCCAGCCAGTAAGGTCCACAAAGGAATGAAGACATAGGACAGATTCATGGTAGTAAACTGTTCCAGTTTAGCACAGAGTGCAAGGCAGAAGGCTAATTTAAGTAACATTGCAATGAGGTACCAGGTTTTTTTTTTAATATTGTGTGATCCATGTCGAGGGTCAAAGCCCGACTTACATCGCCCAGCCATTTTCACAATCAGCATGACCAGAAGAATAGTATCAAATATCCAGACTGGAATAAATATGAGGAACCAGTTCCAAGGTGCCTTCTCATCCAGTTTCAACACCAACATGATCAAGAAGAGTAATGTGAAAAGCCAGGTGAGTAGTACTCTCTGAGCCAAGGACATTCTCATTTAAACAGTTTAAAGAGGCTGTTGCAGCGTCGAAAAATGGGAAATATGTCCTAAGAGAAGGAAAGAAAGTCAAGATGGTTTTGATACCAGAAAAAAAAAAGAAAAAAAAAAATCACTTCCAATTCTGGTGAACAAAAAACTGGCTCTTTCCCACTCACAGATTTCCTAATTTTGAAAACATTCTACCATTATTCCTTTCAAAACCCATAAAATTTGTAGCTATCTTTGACAGCATTAAATCCACCATTCCTTTTAGCCCATGACAAAGTACAATAAAGTATTTAGCATACCCCTGGATATAAGCTATTCAATATTTCTCAAGAACAATCTGTTGCTTTTTATTGCTATCACTCAAGTGTAGGCACTCATGACTTGATTCCTGCACCTCACGGATGTTCTTAACTTCTTTTTGTACATTTGCACACCTACAAATTCTCATTCAACTTCAAGGAGTACTAAGAAAAAGCATATAAAATCAAAGCAGTGAAAAGGAGGAGATGGTGTCAAGCCAAGAGAGGAGAGTTTTAGTACAGAGGGAATGGTTAATAAAAATTAAGACATTAAGTATACTTAAGATTATAAATAGGTCATTGGGCTAAATAATATAGAACACATTGATAACAGTATTTTCACATAGTTTAACCTATGAATCTTATGTTTTTAAGTTAAGTTTTATTTAAATTCTTATAAATACCTATTTTAATCTAATTTTTTCTTACACTTTTTTTTTTGCTTTGTGGTATAGATCATAATTTTTTTCACTACTTTTCAATAATCATGACTACTTAAAATTTGACATTTTGTTATTATTAGATGCTAAGTTATTCAATAATTGAGGCTATTTCTTATATCCCTATTTTTACTGTTCTATGTTTCTGTTTTGCACTAGTTCTATGAATGTTACTGGATATGTTCCAGGATATAGTCTAATATCTGGAAGGCCTAGTAAGTACTCAGTTTTCCAGAATATTTTCTACTATTTTGTCTTTTCATTTTTTCACTAATTCTTAAAAGCTTGGAATTTTTATTGGGAAGGTTGGGAAGGCATTAATCATAATACTTAGAATATAAGCATTTATTTACTCTTCACATATAGGTTTACATTATGTTCTATACATATTTGAGCTCTTTATATCAGTCTTGTGACCATTTGGAAGAAAGGTAAGTAGAATGGGAAGTCAGAAGACAGACTACATGCAGTGGGTGAGGAGTCAACAGAAGATAATACAGCTGACAACATTTTACTTCCCCTTGAAACATTGGGAGAAGATGAAAGATAAGACATATAATGAGACTCAGAAAGAGTCAAGAAATTTTAAGTAAAGGAGAAATCTAAGTATGATTATGAACTCAGGGATTTAACCCACTGGGGAGTGATGGACTGAAGATGAGAGAGGATACCTGATGGAAAGAGAAAAAGATCAGATGATGGTTGTGAGGGTAACAGCATGGGTGGTAAAAGTAAAAATGCAGAAAGATAAGACAAAAGGTGAAGAAACTGGCTAAATGAATCAAATGCCCTAGACTAGCACATTTCGTGAATTATATTTTAGAATTTTGATGTTTTTTGCTTTATCTCTACACAAGGGTGGCTACCTTGGTGCAAGAGTATACATCTGTTTTATTTCAACAGTGCCTTATGAGTCACCTAACTCCCCTTTTCTCCCCTATACCCATCTGCATGCACTCAACTTGTTTACTCAGCTGGCAGGTGCTTCCCACTGCAGTACGAAAAGCAGATGCTTTTTCTCTTCTGTGCTGGCGGTCTCCTTTTCTGGCCAGAGGATGTCACAGTGGGATGTGGGGCTGAAATTGGATGGAAAGGTGGAGGGGGTGTGTACTGATTGATAACTATGGATAGATTTTATCCTGTAAATTAAGTTTGCTCAATCCCGATCTCTAATCCATCTGGTCCTGTTTACTGCTTTTAGAAGTCTATGATAACATACTTGCTTATACATAAGTTTTCCATCAGCCATTGGATGAATCAAACTTCATTTTTTTTCTCATATAGGACTGAGTAGCAACTAGTCATAGAAAGGGAAGCTGCACTCAACACAGGTACTTTAGGACTGAAGGTGGAAAGGATGCAAAAAACAGTCTTGTGGCCGCAAGTTTTACAATGTGGGAGGCAACAAAATTCTGTACGCACTTGTACTAAAATGCCCTCAACCAGGAAGCAGTTTGCTATTTAAGTGACGCTTGAAGGATTGTGTTTGCTGGGCTACAGTGATTACATAGGACTCCAATTATATTAATTTATTAATAAATCATTAATTTAGGCATTCGTATTTGTTTCCTACTACTATTCTTCTTTCTCCTTAAAGGGAGGGGGTTTGCATGCTCCAAAACAAAAATTTGCTCAGCTTAAATATTTCTCATTTGAGGTGGTTATTCCTGGTACCTTGAAAAGAGTTAAGTATTTAGTTCATATGCTTCCTAACCATTGTTAAAACTTTGTGTTGCCCCTCAATAGAAAAATAAAGAGCCCTGCCCGCAGATCCGGGGTCTCGGTGTCAGTTGTGTGTGGTCTTATTTGTCCATGGTGCTTCCCATACCACCCCAATTTCCCTTCTCTTGCTACTGCCATTACTCTTCCAAGTGAATTCGCCTCATGCCAAAGGCAGTTATGCTTAATGAGCCCACAACACCACTCTTCTAAATAATGAGTCGCTTTCGAGAGGCCCCTGCTGCTACAACCTTGGCCAACTTAACCATCCTTCAAAGGAACATCGTTCTGCTTACAACTTAACTGATTTTCGCGCCTACTTGACCCTAGAACTTCAGGACCTTCTTAAACTATCCTTGCCCTCGTCTTCGAAGGGCGGGGGTCAGCCCGCGGCGCCCCAACCATACTCCCCCTCCCTGGCCCCCAATTATGTGCTGTGGCCCAAGTACATTGCGGAGTTGAAGGCAGTTCTTCCAAGACAGGACCCACAATGCACAGAGAAGCCTGGTGCCAAGCAAGTTTATGTGCTTTTGGGGT